TCTCTTATACACATCTAGATGTGTATAAGAGACAGGTGTGTGTGTGTGTGTGGCCTGCCCTGATCAGATAGAAATGAAAACTACCTGATTCCTTTCTTTTTTCTTTTTAATAGCCAGTGGCGTGTCTGGAGTGCATTTTTTGGCTGTGACAGACCTACCTTTGTTTCGTGGGTGTTTTGCTGGCTCGTGATGGGGTGCGAACCAACAGTCTGTAGAGTTTTCCATCTGGTGTGGGTGAGTGATAGTCTGCTTTTGGTACCTGGGCAGTGGTTGGTGGTCCCCACCACCTCAGAGGGGTATCAGTTGTCGGGCAGTCGTTGATGCTTAACCGCAGCCGGGGTTAAGGTGGATTATCACTTACAGTGTAATGTAATCAGTTAGGGGATTCTGCAGACTGTTGAGGGTTCAGCGTCCTGATGAGTCGGTCAGTGAAACTCCGACGAAACAGTTTGTCACAGCCCCTCGTTTGTTGTCCTCTTCTCCCTCTCTGCCTACGGTCTATCGGGCAGCTCTGTTTGACGATATATATATCTCGTCACAAACATATATATATATCGTCACAAACAGAACTGCCCGGTAAACCGTATATATATATATTGCTGTCCTCTATATATCGTCAAACAGAACTGCCCGGTAAACCGAAGGCAGAGAGGTAGAAGAGGACAGCAAATGAGGGGCTGTATATGTATGTTTGTCTTTTTGTGTCGTTTCTGGAATTGCTTATTCATTGTTTGGCTGTGTTAAAGCAACACGATCAGGCACCGATCTACTAATATCATGTGATACGGAGCCACGGTGGCCTTTGTTATTCATTGTATTCCTTTATTTTTTACTCATGGCATTGCTTCTGATTGTCGTATTTCAATTGCAACTTCTACACCCAGTCCTTTTCTTAAAACGTTGCTTCTCTTCCGTATTATTATCGATCGCGACATTCCACCTTAAGAACGAGGTCAGTCCCTATGCATCTGAATTCCTGTAACAACAAGCCTTCTTCGGAGTTCTTCCCTTTTTAAATGCATCTTTTAAATTCTTTTTATATATCTTTCGGATTCTTTCCTTATAAATATGTTTTTAACTTTTTACTAAAGTTTTAGGAATTTTTTACAACTTATCCATTTTGAATTTTCCTCAAAATTCTACGTCATCACGGTTCTTCCAATGCGTCTGTCTCCGTCAACTATTGTGCCTTTACCACTGGTCCTCAAATTTCCACTCTCAGGTCTCCTGACGTGGGCGGAGCCGCGCTGGCCCATCTTGTGAGTGTTAGCATGAGTTAACGCAGAACTTTCAGTAGATGGCAGAAATGTTGCATGTGTTGTCTGCAGTTTCCAACACTCTTTCAACTTCTCTCCTTCTCCCCCCCACCCACCCCCGCAGGCTCCCTTAGACAGGACTTTATGGGCCTGCATCCATGCCCATTTCCGGAGCATCTATCCTGTTCCTCTTCCCCATGCAAGTTAAAAATTAAAATACTGTAATAAAATAATGTTATTTAAACTTTAAAGTTTAAATTTTAAACTTATTTTAAATAATACATATCATTTCATGAAAAGTTGAAAGCTTCTCTTTTTCAGTTTTTCTTTGGATGTCAAAAACATGCTTGCCGGTGGTGATAAGCAACCGGACTGTTGCCCCCCAGAAAATAGAAGCGGTATCGACGTATCGTTCTTCTCAAAAAAAAAAACTTCCTCCCCCCCCCCCCCCCCCCCCCCCCCCCCTCCTCCCACGCAAAAAAAGAAAAGAAAGATGAAAATGGTGAAGGCTTCTTTGAAGTTCCTTCTGTTGACGCCCAAGGACAGACCCCCGCATCTACGGCGGCCTTACAGGAGGACTCTGCTTGTCAGATGACCTATTCCATCATAAATTCTCTCCTTGTGGAACCGAGACTGTGTCTGCTTGTACCGCCTCCAATCAATAGTTGCCCCCACGGCCCGACATGTTGACGTTTCTTTGTTTGTGTATTTTAAGTGTGCATAGCACTGCACACTATTCAATTATAAAAAATTGTATATATTATATTAATTTATATTATAAAATGTGAATATCTCAGGTTTGCTGTGGAATTGGTGGTGGAATTGGCAGGTTGATTGGTGGTCACGTCAATGGCCATACGGGGCTCAAGCTTCATGGTGAAGGAAAATTCGATGTGAAGCGTTTGGCATTTGGGATGTACGAGATTACCATCGATTCTTCTCCGAAGACTGACGGGTAGATGAATCTCCTCTTTTTTTCACTTTCAACTTTTTAACTTTACTTTTTTAACTTTTCTCCGCTCTGTCCCAGACTTACCATCTACAGTGGGCGATTGCGCACGGGGAGGCCAGCGGTGATGGCGACACAGGGGCTCGGATGCGACGACGAAGCGCAGTGTGGAGTGGCGGGGGCGTGCAGCTGGGAGCGTACGGGGTGGCGTTCACATTCGAACGGCAGGAATGAACAGGCTTCAGGGGGGGAATCCGAGGCCCGATCTGGGTCGCTGATCGTTGAAATAGATCATCGGCCCAGATTGAGCCACTATTTTCAGGCTCTACTAGCGCTATGTTTGGCCTCATTTCTTTTGCGGGCCTCCCTTAAAACACGCCGGAGGCCCAGGGGGGTGATTCTGGTCCGAGAATCGGCCCAGTGCGAAAATGTTATGGGCCAACCCGTGGCCCGTCCCGGGGGGACTGCCTGAGAGTCCTCCCAGGACACTGGCCGCCCGTTTTGTAGTCCAGGTGTTATCCTTCTAAGTGTGGCCGAGTTCCGGGAGGGCGCCCCCCGGGCCGGCCCATAACATTTTCGCACTGGGCCAATTCTGGGCCCAGGCTAATAAAAATCTTCTCCATATCGTTCCAATTTAAATGGATGGAATCAGGGAGGACTGTTTTCGATGTTTCTGCTTTTACATATTCGTCAGTCAACCAGGGAGTTAGTGGGTGTTGTCACGCACTAGAACGTTTTGGAATGACCTCTGGACCTGTGGTACCAACCTCTGGCCGCCCGGATCACCTTGGTTGCCCGGCTGGCCGGCCGGCCGAGCAAGGGCTAGGGAAGGTACGTCGATTTTTTGTTTTTTTTTGAAAAAAAAAGTTTAAAAGACTATGTTGTGCAGAAAATGAAACTGACCAACTTTTTTTTTTTTTTTTTTTTTTTTTTTTTTTTTAACGAAAACTGAACAACGTTGCCTCAGGGTCATATCGGAATTCTTTTGCCAAATCGAAAATTTTAAAATTACCCAAGAGCCTAGCTCAGTGGGGACCACACCCATGAACTGTTGAAAATACAGACCTGTGTTCGAGTCCAGATGATGGAACCTGACGAGTAAAACCAACTACTAATGAATTGCCCGGGCCACTCTGGACGTAATTGTGCTCAGAATCCTCAGATACATCCAGTACTGGGCCTGATTGCGGTCAAATGCTTCCAGCCTCCAGGAATGTCCTAGTGTGAGTATGCCCCTGCAGCTGCTTTTTATTTGAGTGGTTACACCTATTGCAAGGAAAGTGAGCGATAGCGAATTCCAGAAACCAAGCAGCATCATACACATGAACCAGATAGTCTTGACCTCGAACCAAACGCAGAATTGCGACTTGAGTTCCACCAAATAAGAGCACAGCAAAAGCTCGCAAGTGACAATGTTGGAATAGTCTCATCGTCATCAACAATGAACCAATGTCGATTCCCTATCTGGCGCTCGGCGCCCAGACTACGAATGGCAGATCCTATCTAGCCTATCTACAATGTCGTGGGTGACGTCAACAGCTCCCCGAAGTACGAGCAGATCTCGGCCAATGCCGTTCGCCTCAAGCACCAGGTATGTCTCACGCTTCACTCGCAACCTCGATCCCCCACACAGATGCCACGTGCACCCAAGGACCACCATGCGCCCCATCCAGCACCTCGCAGGGCCGCTCGGCTATGGCTGCCTGCGTGTAACCTGCTCGCCCGTGAGCGTGTGGGCGCTTGCCTGCCAGTAGCGCAGCAGCGCTTGCGCAGCATGTAGCAAGTGCCCGAATGCCGAATGCGGGGGCAGGCACTTTCCTATATGGAAGTGGCCTGCCTGGTGCGTGCTGCCTGGCTGCGCTGGGCCCCTGCCCAGAAGCTTCCGGTAGGCCCCAAGTGGCTGAGGACACCCCAGGAATCAGACACAGGGCCCGGGGTGGTTACCTGTGTCCAACTGCCAGGGTGTGATAAGCATCCACCGACAGACGTTGTCGACTGCAAAGGGAGAAACACACAATAAAGGCATTCGGGAAACTGCCGAGAAAGAAGGAAAGAGGAAGGAGGAGGAAAGAGGAGGAAAGAGGTGAAGGGAATGAAAGAGGGGAGAAAAGAAGACAAAGCACACATGAATACAACAAGGTCTCCGGAACGCAACTAAAATGATAAAAAAACATTAAGTCCTGGCGGAGTTGACCCGACGAGTTTCGGCCGGCCGCCACTGGCAGCTCTTCGGGGGTCTTGTCGGTCGTGAGGTAACTGCCAGCGGCCTGTGTGCAGTCCATGCCCTGTGTCTAGCCCAGGGCCTGGCCCAGATACATTTGAAAAAGGCATGCAGGGCCTGGGTTCTCTCAACCAACTGGCACTGCGCAACTGGCTGAATTTCCCAGTTGCGTGGAAAGCCCGAAATAGGTAGGCCTCTCGTCCTTGGTCAGGCCTGCCTTCACTTAGGGCGGCCGATATTGCTGGAAACAGGGCCCTGTAGGGCTCATCGAGGCCTTGAGCCTCGCACTGTTCTGGATGGGGAACAAAAAAAAAACTCGTCGACTCGGATTTGGATTTTGAACATGTTTTCGTCCTGGTTCAAGCATGAATATGTTTTTCATGTCCCATAACTCCACTCTATTTACGCCGCTATACTTT